ATTGTGCGGAGAGGATTTGGGGAAGGGGGTGGCGTCATGCAGAGTGGGGGAGTGGAGAAGCGCAGAATCACGTCAGTGTCAAAAGCGGTGGGGTTTTGACGGAACCAATGAAAGGGTCAAAGGTGGATATATGATTACACAACAAAGATGGGAATCCGGAACCCAAACCTGTGCCCTACTTTGACTGCCTGCGCATGACCCTTGCATTCCCCATTCCTTTTACACTTTTGCCCTTCTCATATAATTATAAACATAAAATACATGTATAATACAGATAATGAAAAGGAATTTGGTGGGGTGTGAATTTTGGAAAAGTCAAGGAAGGAGGAGTAATTTTATTTTGACTTTCGCACCAGTGTAGAAATAAAACCATAAATGGATCAACATCCACATCAAAGTTTCGGCGGGTCATTAGAATTAACTGCTTAAATGTCATAATAATTAAAATCAATTTAATGAAAACTAGGACTTTTTTTTTGTTGGCGGCACCTTCCTTGCTTTCTAAGAAGGAATTTGGCCATGAATTATAAAAGTTTTATAGACAGCGGCTGCGATGGCATGCACTTGTTTTTATATAATTATATAATTATAAGTCAGCAGATGGATGTTTGGCAGAGGAAAAGAATGGGCAGATGGATGACTAACGTTCATTCGTTATAGATTTTGTTGACGGTGAGGAAAATGAAAGATATTTGTCTTATTAGAAAAATCGCGGCGGGCAAAATGTCTGACCACGCATTTCATTCGATATTAAGATCATGATTTTGATGAGAACATAAGAAGTTAAGAACCAGCGTTATTTCATACAGTGTGGATTCTATCCAGCTTGTTGCTGGGAAATTACAATATGGTAATACTCCTCCGGTCCTTAATATAGGACTCAATTCTTGTATTGGTTTTGGTCCTAAATATAAGACCCATTTCTCATGTTTATCAATTTTCTCTAAATTACCCCTATGGATACTTCCTCAACCATAATTAAGTAGAAGAAGGAGAGGGGTATTAAGAAAGATGATTATGGTGTTTTAGTAAAAATGTGTCACTTTTCTTATAATTAACTAATTTACCTAACTTCCTTAATCTAATCAAATTAATTAAATGGGTCTTATATTAAGGACCGGAGGAGTATATAATTGGTCTGTGTTTCCAGGTATTCCCAGGCTTCTGAGACTCCAAGAACTACAAGGCATGCCATGTTATTACAGAGAAAGCTTGCTCATCTTTGGGAATATCAATATTTGGGAGGCAGGGAAGCTTGAGAAAGAAACAAAACGGCTTGGTTTTCTGTGATTTAAAAAAAGGGGAAAGTGTTTGAATATTTGAAGGCATGGCATGAAACGTTGGTCATGATGAGTTATGTTACTTATTTGAATATGGAAAAAGAGAGGAGGCGTTGGGTCAAAAAGTCAGTGTTGCTTGATGTGGAAGGAAGAGTGGCGATTCAAATGTTTATGGTACGAATGTCTCAAACACAATGAGGTCAGGTCAAGACATGCAAAGATCCCAGGTGCCGGCCACGCAACTCTGCTTTTTCTTATTTTCTGCAAGTAAGAAAACTCAGAAAGTCTTCCCTTTTACTGTTCCCTGTTCAACCAAAATAGTCACGTGTTCTGTTTTTCTTATTCAACATCCCTCTTTTTCTTAAAAAGCAAAAATTTTGACCATGTTTTTGTTTTTTCCTCTCCCTCAAGATCCAATCTTTAGCTAATGTTCAGGTCGAAAAAAAAAAATCCTTAACTAATGTTAAAACACGCATCCTACTTAAACCCCAGGTTTTCAAGAAATCAGATATGTTTTTTTTCATATGAAAATTGACATTTGACGCCAAAGAAAAAGGAGACAACCCTAGCAATGAAATCTGTTAATCATTTTTATTAGTTGTTTTGCTTGGGATATATGTTAATTTTGACTATGGTATTTCCCCACCGTCAGAAGTGAAACATATTTCTGAGGTTCAATGTAGTGGCCTACGAACACGAGTCTTTTCCCTCCTGGATAGTTTCTTCCTCCCAAAATCTTACAGCCATGCAATCTCAAAGGTTGTTTTCTTTTTTTAATGTAATCCAAAAACAGAGTTTGTTTTTATTAAAACAAAAAGAAATCAATCAAACGTTATAAAATAACTGAATCTCCATAGTCATGCTGTTACGTAACAGGAAAGAAAAAGATGATGATAAGACGAAAACTACTAAGTTGCATGCATGGCTCCGCAACACACAGGGAATCCGTGGTTCTGGGCTACTGAATTGACAGTCCAGAATTTTTATTTTGTGCAGAGAAAGACTGCAACAAATTTAATACTCCTCCAGTCTTTAATATAGGACTCAATTTTTGAGTTGATTTTGATCCTAAATATAAGACTCATTTCTCATATTTATCAATTTTCTCTAAATTACCCCTATGAATACTCTCTCAACCATAATCAAGTAGAAGAGGGAGATGGGGTATTAAGAAAGATGATTATGGTGTTTTAGGAAAAATGTGTCACTTTTCTTATAATTAACTAACTTACCTAATTTTCTTAATTTAATCAAATTAGTTAAATGGGTCTTACAGACCGGAGGAGTATTAAAAAATCACGCAAACATATTGATATGGCTCTGAGACTTGGAGCCATTCATGAGCATATGGGACGATGGGAAGCCATGGGATTATATTTCGATGGCAATAATATTAGAGGGATCGACTTAATACCCTCTTAAAAGATGAATCTTTCTAATTTCAGAGTGTAAAATTACGAAAAAGAGGGTTCGTTTTTCATGTAAGGCACGTGAACGCACTAGTTTTGCATTATATTTGTTCTTTTAACAGCGCTTACGTTGTTTTTTCACACTTAACCAAAAAGAGACATTAGAGGGAACAATAATCCTGCTTCGTTAGGGAAAGGAGATTCATTCTATTATAAGGGCTTTTCATCGTAGGATGCATGGCTAGTGTAGCAACCAAAACTTAGAAGATTCTTCTTCCTTCTGGGCATTCCCTTTTGCAGAGCACTTCTAAGTCCTCGTGTTCTTCTTTCTTTCTTCTTTCGTTCCTGCAGGAAAAAAAAATTCATAAAACCAACACATTTAAACAACAGATATAACATAATCTCAACTTTCTGAAAAAGCACGCACGCGTCGTGAAATATCAGACCTTCTTTTCCTCGGTTGGCTTATTCGTTGAATCCTCATCGCCTGCATATAAAGAAATGAACCCCATGAGAATGCAATGCAATTTTACTGCAAAAAAAAAAATATTCACAGAGAATAAGTAAAACAGAGACCGTTATTCTTGACGCTGGAGGCAGAGTCGTTGTCACTAATAAAACTGTGACTCCTGCTGGAGTTAGAGGAGGCAATGCAGTACACCCTGAAACTTGGGGACCTTGGAAAAATGAGGACTTCACTTTGATAATCCTCTTCCTCCTTTTCTCCCTCCTTCTCTCCTCCTTCACCCACCTGCTTCGCGTCCTTCCCCTGCGTCGACGACCCGCTTTTCTGGCTCCATTGGGCGAAAGACAGGACACTGTCGTCGCCGCCACGGTCGTGATGCTTGCTGGTGGCCGGCGAATTTATGTCTGTAATGTGGCCATCACTACTACTCATCATGCGTCCATGGCTAAGGGTTGCGGCGTCTTCTGGATTCAGCCTTGTTGACAAGCCGCAACCCATGATGGAGCAGAGGAAGATGACTGCGTTGGGATGGAATTGGGAGGGACCAATAAGTACTGTATAAAGGACACCCGAATTCGTTGGTACAGAGAGCCAACACGAGAGATGCCACAAAAGTTTTACGGTTACGATTAAGTTTGTAACAGAAGCTGTCCAATAAGGCTGTCCTCTGTTTGGTCGCCATTATGTATCTGTCAAGTGCCTAAAATTACCTGTTCCCTTTTTACATTCTTTCCATCTAATTGTGATGTCGCCTCCAATCCAACAACGACACAACACTATATCATTAGAGCAAGTTACACGAAGCTTATTTCTATTGCGTTTTACAGGAGTGCTGTGGCATCACACGCTCGAAACGGCATTTGAAGTAAAGTTCCAAAACTTACCGAACTGATCTGGAGCCTTGGTCATCGCCCCATTTTAGAGGCCTAATTATCATTTTCCTATAAACAGTAGTCAGAGCATCCAGAATTAATGTTTGACACGCACGTACTTGATCGAGCTGACTAAGTTGGCAAAGACAGAAGAGGGACCGCATTAATAATTCAGACCAGAACATCATAGAAGAAAACAAGAAACTTAGGCTGTTGTGGGACTACGAGAGTGTAGTGGCTGTAAGTCATGAGTGAAACAAGTTTGAAACAAAGGGATGAGAGAAAACTTTGACAGAAAAGTCAGAAATCTCAGGCTATGCCTTCAACGGATTCGCGTGAGGGTAAAGCAAGGTCCTGTGGAAATTACCATGGTCGGCACCTCAATTCCTCATTCCATGTTCAAACTATCTACATGTATCACGCATCAAAGTTCTGCTGACGTGCACCTCAGTTATTTATATCTTTATTTAAACTACTTTCATCTCTGTGAACTGGTAACTGCATGCATGCATGGATGCGTGATGTCTTTTGGCTGGCAACCAGAGTAATGTAAAATTTCAGCTTCAAAATAGATTCTTCTAAGACGTGAACAGATAATATGCATTGTTGATAAAAAGAATCATATTCTCAAATGTCACAACATGTTGCATTATCCAGGCTTGAAAGAATCTTTCTCTCATTCGCTCACCCTACACATATAATTCCTTTTAATTTGTTCCTTGTTTCCTTCCCAAACTCAACCATCCCCAAAGCTTTCCCTTTTGTGCCTTGTTCCGTTATCTCTCCTTCGGCATTCTGTTTTATAATTCACATCGATTGTTTTCAGAGGGGGGAAATCTGGAGAGTGGTATTTAGATCGAGTGAAAATAAGACAGAGAAGGATAATTGGTTTCCACGATCCTTTCTTTAATTTATTAAAATACAGCTAAGTGGAATATATGTCACGCTTCACTTTGAGCCTTTTCAGTGTGGCGCTTGAGGTGATACATAAGCACACAGTATGCTTCATTTTGATCTCATTCTTGGCCCCGAAGTACTTACATACTACCTCCGCTACTTAATACAAAAGTAATTTCACTTTTAATTTGATTAAATATAAGACTTAAATTATTTTACTCTTTCATATTTATTCATTTTTTTCAAGGTAGTTTTTATAATAGTTGTATATGATAAAAATTTCACCAAATAGTAGTTTTAGTTAATACACCTGATTAGTAAGAATATTTAAAAAAAACATATTTATTATAAATAACTAACTTAACTAATCTATTTAATATACTCAAATACAAGTATAGACGTTAGGGGGAAATTTTTTTTTAATTTTTGGAGTCAATTATTTTGATAGATTGACGTTTGGATCCCAAATGAATAAATTAATGATAGTCAGATGAAAAACTGGCTAAAAATGAGCGATGAATATTATTTTAGATAGCTGTAAACATGAAAGTTTTAGTTGTAAGATATTAAAGTTTCATAAAAGTCACTTCAAATAACTTGCAACTGCTGGAACAAATACAGCTCATCTTTTAACAAAAACTTTTTAGACTCCAACCATCTAAATTATTTGGGGCCTACGTGTCTTTTCCACATTATTTTATTATCTGAGCAAAATAGGAGTAATTACTATTCATGTTTTGTTGAAAATACAGATAAAGAAAAGAGGGAATAAATTTTATTTTGACGCGTGGGGGTATAATTTGGTTGCTTTTACGTCCCCTCTTTATTCTCAAACCAAAAGAGGCCCTTCTTTATTCCCAAATCCAAATTAAAAAAAGGGGGGAAATAAAGATTTGGCTTTTGTCTTTTAAAATATGAAAGGAGGCATTTTTATGAACGGAGCATGAAGCTGTGGTGTGAAAAGAAGTGGAATTGGAATCAAAGGGCGTGGGGGTGATGCCGTGATGCTGAGAAGGGACTTCAGCAGTAGGCAGCACCATGTGTTTCGTCAAGCCCATGAGCTCACACACGCACGGCACAAAGCATCTCTTATTTTCACAAAGATCATCATCATTACCATTAGATTAATACAGACCCTCTTCCTTTCTAGCTTTGGATGCCTACCTTTCGCATCCATTCTCTGCATTTTATTATCATACTTTTGGATTTGGATCGTCTTTTCCCCCAAGAAATCATGTCCCTTTTGATAATAAAAAGCTTCATGTTCAGACCAGCCATGAGTATTCTAAACTATATTCCCACCGTAATCATGTCACATTAATAAAGCAAGTTAGTTGAATAGTACTATTAATAAACTCAGTTGTTTGCGCTGCTCTTACAGAAAATAAATGCTCCATGAAGAGTTATCTAATCCTAAGGACTTCTCAGTGACTCTATAATAATGATGATCATAAAGAAAACCTAATTAATGCAAGCTCCTTATCTCCTCCTAATCTAGCTTGTTAGAAGCGATTTCACTGCTTTCGCTTGAACATGGAGAACTAGGTGGGGGAGGTCCTGTGTCACTCCCACATTCCGCTGTGAAATCTATGAAACTGGGTTTGATCTCTTCCTCTAATCCCTGAACTTTCCTCATATTAGAGAGTTGACCATTAGATCCTCTTCTCTTAAGCTTCCTCTTTTGAAATATGCGATACACAGCCCAATCTGCTGCTGCCACCTGAATTTGAATTCAAAGTTGAAAATTGGCATCAAGTACTGATAAACCAGGGGGAAAAAAAGGGACCATATCTAAAGGGCATTACTCTTAAATCTGTGAATTTTCATGTTTACATGTAATGGGAACTGATCTGTACTTGTGCATTTTTACCTGGTGTGATGGGTAGGAAGGTGTTTCAGAAGGAAGAAGGCGCAATTCATGCATGACCCACCGAGTACGAGCCTCACGGGAACGTTTGGCTTCACAGAAAACCAAAGTCTTCCTCATCCCAACCACTCGGTTGTTCTCAGAAGCAATAATTTGCTTGTCATTGCCTATGGTTTTCCAGTACCCAGAAGCAGCAGGCCTCTTGTGAATATGCTCCCTTCTATGGCTAAAGAAATATCTCTTTTCCTTGGAATCACCGACACCTACAATCAACAAATTCGAACAGACCATTTAGATTCAATTTAGGCAAATCCTCAAACAAGAGAAGAAACAAATCAGCAGACATGAAATTTTCGAGTTCTTGGAAAGACAATGCGAAATCTCAAGCAGAAGTTCTGTGCCCCCAAAAAACAAGCGCAAAAACAGATTTGGGAGAAAGAGACGAGAGAAGAACCTGGGAGGCGGGAAGGGTGGGCGGCGAAGACGTCGAAGTCGGGAATGACGGAGGCGGGTAAGGGGTGAGAGAAGACCTTCCTCTTGAGGTAGTGAATGACAAGCTCTTCATCGGTGGGACAGAAACGGTAGCCAATGGGAAGCTTGACGCCTCCACTGACGACAAAGCTGGGGAGCTTCTCCATCTCTAAGAATGCCACCCACAAAACCTGCAAGGGATTATTATTTAGAGGGCGAGAGTGGCGTGAGGGTTAGGTTAAATCAGAGGAAACCCATGAGTTGAGGAAGACGAAGGAAAGAGAACGGGGAAACAAGTAAAAAGGACGTTGGGGTGTGAGGACAGAGACAGATAGGCTTGTGCAATTTATAGATAGCAATCGCAGAGTGGCCGGGCGGCCGTGTAGGGTAGAATCGGATTATTTTAGGCTATTTGTTTAATAGTCCGCAAAATTAATTTCAATTTAAAAAACAAAAAAAGAAAAGAAAACAGAAAAAGGCGTTGAGAGATGAAAAATGGCAATTGAAGTGGGATTGGTAGAGAAAGGGGGGAATCAAAGATGATGATTGAGACGGAGAATGAAGGGGCTTCACAAACGTGTACGGGACTCACACATCCAACCAACAAATTAAACTTCACCTCAGATTTCTGTATCATGCCTCCTCCACGGCCATCACCACGTCTCCTTCCCTTGCTAGATATGTGTGATCAGCAAAAATCGCCCCAAAAAAATTATAAGAAAAATTAGTAAAAATAACTTATTTAAGAACTTAGATCAAAATTACTCGTATCCATTATGTTAAATTCTTCAATTATACATAGCTTTATATTCTTTTTTATTTCATGTGAATTTATAATTAAATACTATTAAATGTTTATCTCTCAAAAATCAATCATGCATGATTAAAGAACTTGACAAAATAGATATAAAGAATTTGAGGCAAGATTCTATTCAGTGGAAATTGGGTTGTATCAAATCTCTTTACAAATGAGTTTTCTAAAAGAGGTATTTTTCACCATATTTCTCAAAATTGTATTAGAAAAATATTTTAGTTTAACCGCATAATTTTTCGTTTCCCTTGGTCCCCTTAAACAAATATATTGGAAATTATTTTACTTCGCTGATAATAAACTTGGTTGTTCGCAAAAAATAATAAATATGATATATTCCAATAATTTTGAGTCATAAATAAAAGAGAGACCATCCAGCCTTTTCAATTTCCTTTCTTCTTTTTTTCCCCTTTGAAGTTGCCCTTTGGGCGTTAAGTGATTGATGAAACGCAAGCTAGCTACTAGCAACTTCGGTGTTTTCAATTTCCTCATCTCCATCCATTCAAAGATTACATTACATTCCTATTGATTTAATTATAATTAGATATTATTTCGTGTATATATTTCATCCATAATCATATCATTTAACCTATTATTGAGGGATATGCGTTGCGGGGCATATTTATCTTCTCCAACAAAGCCGATATTGTAACTTACAAGCGTAATGTAATTAAATATAAGAAGAAACCCCATGGAATTGAATCCTACAGAAAACATCCAACAATGTGACGACTAATGAAAAAGCTTAAAATCTCCGAAATCCGATATTCGGCGTATTCTTTTGCGGCACTTGCAAGTAAACAAAATATTTGCACGTTACTTGTTTCTAGAAATTAAAAATTTAGTTAACATAAAAGATGATCAACTGAACATGAGAAACTAATTAACTTCCAAACACAAAATAAAAAATAAAAAAATCAAACTTGGCAGTAAAATCTCTATATATAGAGATATAGAGCACATGCATGAGTCACGAGCGGCTAATCGATGTGGGACTTTGTAAAAGCACTACAAGTCAACGGGGCTAACAATGGATTAAGAATAAAGCAAAACGACAGCAAGGACCCTGCTTAATACTATATTCATTTACATATCGTTTCTCTTTTTCTTTCTTTCTCATTCATCCGTGTTTGAACTTTGAACGCATCCTCCTTCTTTGATTATTCGTCTGCTTCTCTTCTCAGTTTTTCACCCACCGATGTCTTCCCTGTCTGTACTACTGAATAATAATTATTTATGCACTCCCAAGTCTATGTCGTGGGGACGATCGATACAGCAATGTTGTTCTCCTCTGCTCTTGATATTGCCAATGCAATTATCAATACGGATTCCTTCCCATTGATCCTCGTGATCCATTAATTTGCCTCTCCACATCATCAAGCCTTTATTAAACTAAACAACAAGTGTTTGAACAAATCTGTACTGCTTATTTTGGATTAACCTAATGAATGCAAGCAAAACTAGCATACTATTGATGAGCTAGTACGTTTAATAGACGCCTCATAGTTGCCTCTTTCCACTTATTTTATCAATAAGTAATGTCTTTTAGAGTTTCACCCGACACATCATTAATTAAGCTGCAGACACTATGACATCTAGAAAACAATAAGGTCATTAATTAGTTATCACTAGCTCAAAAAGAACAAGGAATATATTGGTGAAATCAAAACTATTTATGGGTGGGCTGTGGTGTGGCTAGACCACAAAGCTTAGATAGTGAAAGTGAAAGTTGACAGGCCGAATTGAATCTGATCCCAACGGCAAGAGGGATGAGTAAGATGCCAAGTGCCTTTGCGTCCAGGCACTTCTCAAGTTTAGGCCACGAACTAAGAACCCACTAATAAATCCTTGTTATTAATATACCATTATGCCAATTACTAGTTCCTTTTTGTCTCTGAGTATGAATCTCCGGCTTCACATAGCTAGTGACGAATCTGAAAAAGGAGATAGCCGCATATATTGGAGGTGGCGGGTGAGATTTTAATTACTACGGCTAACTGCTACATAAACTAAACCAGGCATCTCAGCGTAGACTTAATTAATTGGCGTTGCTTCAAATTTAAGAAAAGAATCTTAAAAAAAGAAACTCTGTCAGGCGTGTTAGTGGACTTTTGTGCTAGGGGCTTTTGTCCCTCAAAATATGCTGGAAATGACATGGCTTCTATGATGTTCATGCCATTCCAGGTGATGAATTGCTGATATATTAATGCTTACGACGATTCTAGCCCATCGAGAAGTTAGTGTTTAATCCTATCCACACTGTGATGTGCTTTGAACTTAATGGGAAGTCTTATATGATTGTCACTGATGTTTAAAACGATGGAGGATCCATTCAGGTAATCTACAAGGTGATTATCACTGCCGTAATTACTAGTCACTGAAGTTAAATTTATTTGCCGTGTGGATCATTGCTTTTGGTGTTGCAGTTATAAATATGAACACCTTGGTAAAGTCAACAAGTTGCTGCGGCTAAGGGGGGAAAAAAGGTGAAAAAGAGGCACTTTGAGGGTTTGAAATTTTGCCATGGAACCGTCTAGCATATTCAAGAAAATATACCTAGCCAAGATGAAGAAAGAGTGAAGAAGCAAATATCTCGGAGAACCTAATACTGTTCTGCTTTAACTGGCCACAATACACTATGCCTGGAGGAGTTTATAATTATAGGTTGCAAGAATCTGATACCGATTTTATATATACGATCCTCGCTTGCTTTGTTGCCTGCCTGACTCAGATTCTTATTGTTGTTGCGATGCAACCATAAGAGAGTTGAGGTTTTCTTGCGATTTAAGGAACGTTATTCACCGTTGCTTATGATTTGTCAGATGATTCGTCTTACCCTTTCTTACAAGCCTCAAAAAGAGTTTTGCTGTTGCAATTGGTTTTGCAACTCCCTTGTTGTTAGGGTCAAAACTACCTTCACAAAGTTTTCTCATATTTCTAAGTGATGACAACAGTAGAATTGGCCAATTTGCTGACAGCCATACCTTCAGTCACTTTTTCTTTTTCCTCTTTACCATATTTGGCAACCCCTTGTAACGTCTAAGAAAGTAGAAGCAAAGCTATCTTCTAAGATGGAAAGATGCAAGCAAGGGATAGCAAGAAACGAGAAAGAAAATATGGGTTGATTGATGAAAACAATGAGAAAAAGGGTCAAAACTTTCTATTAAAGTCAATTTTATTCGAAATACTATTGAACACTAGATGTAATCATTTCTTCTAACGAGTATTTAATCTTAATTAATCACATTGTGAGAAATTAAGTTTTTCTCCTAAACCTGACTCTATTGATAAATAAGGGCTAAAAAAACTTAAATAAATCTTGGATCACCTATATCAAAAACTAATAAGATGATCTAGAGGCTCCAAACCCCCCAAATCATAATTAAAAAAAATCAAACCAAACTAGTCGGTTCAACTAAAAAACCAGTGAACTAAAATGATTTGGTTTGATTTGGGTGTTGAACTGGTCAGGAGATTGAATTGGTATCAAACCAATAAAAATTGGTGATCAACTGACTTAGATGACTATATTACTACTTGTCTTATTTTTTTTCTCATTCATTTTCTAATATTTCAGTCACTATAGATTTAAATGAATTTTAATGATGATTTTGATATTAATGATTATTAATTTTAGTTATTAATGAATTGTAAAGATCAAAATTCTCAATATTATTTTATTTTGTTATTATTACAATCAAACTATTATTAGTGATTATTAATATCATATTTTGTTATTTTTAAATAAATTATATTATTTTAATATGACTAAGTTGATCCTAATCTGACTAACACACACCTGAACTATTGTCTCAATGTGTCCGGTCTATTTTTTTCCTTCACCAACCCCCAAAAAAAACACACACACACACACACACACACAAATGTTACTCTTCCGGTTCTTAATATAAGACCCTTAACTAATTTGATTAGATTAAGGAAATTAGGTAAATTAGTTAACTATAAGGAAGGTGACACATTTTTCCTAAAACACCATAATCATCTTTCTTAATACCCTCTCTCCCTCTTCTGCTTGATTATGGTTGAGGGAGTATCTATAGGGGCAATTTAGAGAAAATTGATAAATATGATAAATAGGTCTTATATTTAGAACCAAAATCAACTAAATAATTGGGTCCTATATTAAGAACCGGAGGAGTAATAAATAATTTTCCATGGAAATTGTTCAAAGAAAATTCTTTTTTTATTTCTTTTTAAGGTGAAGACGTTACGCGGTCATTAACGTGCAACCTATTTTGAGTATTTTCATTGGTTCTCATTTCATTTCATCTTTTCAGTTACACAGAACCAAAGCAGTTCGTGTGTACAATGTCTTTGAGCTGGTTTAATTGATAAATCTAGCATGCCAACAGTGTTTGTTCCATACACACTGTATTAAGATTCGAACCTAGGACATAATATTTAAAATGTTCAAATCTTTTTCATTTAGACCAATACTTGTTAGTTGGCACATAGATTATTTTAATTATTATTCATCACCGTTAGGGGTGGAAACAGGTCAGGCCAGACCAGGCCTCACCCTTGACAGGCCTGGCCTCTGGTGAGGCCTATTGGCCTGAGCCTGACCTGTGGCCTGTGAAAGGCCTTTTAATCGGCCTGAGCCTGGCCTGTAATCAAGCCTGACCTGGCCTGTGGTCTGTTAAGAAGCCTTTTTTTTTTTTATCAAATTTTAAACACACATAAATCAATTCAAAATTACAATAATTCAACTTAATTAATCTAAAATACAAAGAAAAAATATGAAATTATCAAATTAACACAATTTGTAAAGCATGTCCCCTTAGGCCCAAAAAAAAATCTAATATGAAAAATTATTAGAAAACATAATTTCACTCTAATATAAAAATATCACTTCATCCCATCTCTAGTATAAAAATTAGTTGATGACTAGATCTAGTTTAAAATATGAAACATCCTTAATCCCTTTTATATTTTAAATTTATCATTTATTCAAACTAATTTACTAACAAAATGATATTTGATCCTGTTGTTACACATGGTTGTTTTTTTAAAAAAAAAGTTACAGTTATTATAATTTATTTATTTATTTAAATTAATTAAGTAACTATTATAATAAGAATTAGATTGAGCACACATATATACGGTCTAAAACATAATAGGTCAATTCTATATATATATATATATATTCTATATAAGATTAATATGAAAAGCATGGATCAAATAAATGAGTGATACTTTATTTTTTTAATGCACTTATGTTTTTTTTCTCTGTTTAAATATGTGTCATTATACATACATTAATTATTTTTATTATAGAGAATGGAAATGAAATGAAGCATGCAATGGGCTCTAGATAACATATTTATGTGGATAGAGTTTTCTCAATTAACTAATCAGAATAGCAGATTCCCTCCCATCAATTTACAATTTTAACCTAAAAAAAAAAATAACAGGCCCAGGCCGCCTGACAGGCCTAACAGGCTTACTATTAGGCCTGAGCCTGGCTTGATAAAGTAAATAGGCCTTTTTATAGGCCTGAGCCTGGTCTGATATCTAAACAGGCCAGGCCAAGCCAGGTCATTTACAGGACAGGCCACAGGCCGTCTGGTCTATTTCCACCCCTAATCATCGTGCACTAACTGTTCCCAGACTTCATTGTTTGATCTTGATAATAAAAGATCAGGCCCAAAAAAAAAATCAGACACAGTGACAAAGATCACAATTGGCAGGAAAAGCCCACCGTATATGTAGCCATTACCGGCTCCCAAAGGGGCATGAAAACGACACCAACTTTAATCCAGTTCGATTCAAGCCAAGCTACTACTGACGTCTACTTGATATGTCGCAAAGCAATTAGAAGAGAAATCATTGCTAAGTATTGCATCATATCGAACTTCTGGCTTGCTGGTTCGAATATGTTAATTTCAACTATCGTGAGTTCGAGGCCAGGCACAAAAGGCGGCATAGCTATACTCCTATGTGAATTTTGAATTGCAAAGTTCTCTTCATGATTAGATAAATAAAGAACAAATCAACACCACTTCAGTTGGGGAACTCCACTTGTACTTGGGATAAAATCAAAGACGAGTTAATGGAGGACAATCAAGTTACATTCGCTCTCTGTTTCTGAGAAATCAAAATGAAAACATATTTACACAGCTCAGGGTATAATGGTCGCCTCCTCTTCTCTTTTGGGTTAAAATCTGCTGACTACGAGTATGTGCGAAGACCAAGTAAATTAAAAGGGTTTTGGCCTATATCTGTATCAACTCTGGGATAAGCTTCAAAAGAAAGGTCAGCTCCTGCTGCGAGAATTGAGGCTTTGAATCCACCTTCCTCTTCTCTTCACTCGTAATACCCTCCTCTTCAGCCACCTTTGATGGCTTTATCATATCCGAAACCGCCTGCGTTATTTCTTGGACCAAATCAACAATCACCCCTTCAATCCCCATTAAATGTTGCATGTAAACTGCCTCTGGAACATTACTGTAAGACAAACCGAGATAACATTAGTTCAGGTTAAATTCATATTGTGCCAGGATTGACAAACAAGCAAGAATACAGATGAAAGGACATACTTTAATCTGCCGTAGGTAATCAGAGAAAGCTTAGATTCTTTTATCTTGGTTACTGCTCCAGGATTTCTAAAGATCGCTCTAACCTCGGACACGATTCCGTGGAGGCCGTTCTCCTGACACAGCTTTAATGCGTCCTCCAAGGAATTTCTTCTTACATCATAATAAAGTTCATTTCCTCCGTTTGTCAAGAAGTACACCTGATATGTCACAAAGTATCATTAGAGACTAAGAGGTTTGCAACCGATAGCTGAATCTATTCTCTAATATAAAGTGGCAAGGAGCATACAGGGTAGGTGCTCTGTAATTTACGAATGAGTTTTGCCGCATCTGGATGAAAACTTGAGAAGATAATGGGTCTATCCTTGGCGTATTCAAATACGATCTGTCACAAAAGTTCAACGAACTAAGAGATCCATCCACAAAAACACTAGAAAAGCAAAGTTCTCATAAAGCTTGGAAGGATAAAAAAATACACTTCAAAACAAGTGTTATACCTTCAAAACAGTTTGGAGGACGCGAACGAGGTATTCTTCCTCATATACAATGTGGTCATCAAATTTGAGCTCGATGTTAAAACCCACAGTGGGCTCCACCTTGCGGAAAACATCTTGGAGGGTACAGAGTGGGTCATCCTGTTCAACATCCCACTTGAGGATCTTTCCATCCTTGGTTTTTCTGAGCAAAGGCTTTCCTTGCTCTGCGGTGTCTTTCTGAGGACCATAGGACAGGAACTCCGACAAACTCAGGTCTGTTACTCTTTTCTCAAATACAGTTCCCTGAGAAATCGCATCCCAGACTTGATCATTAAGATGAAAATACTGGAAACGGACAAGAAAAACAAGAAAGTGTTGAGCCGACGAGCTTACATTTTCTAAAGAGAGGATGAAATCATCGTGGAAAATGACCGGGCAGCCATCCTTAGTCACCTGCAAATCACATTTGTACTCGTGTCAGGTTTGAACAATACCAACACAGAACGGGCAAAAACCCAGCCAAGTGGCAAATCACTACAACCATGATATGAATCTGGATTCTCTCCACTACCTTCCCATCCTCTTTCCTTCTATTACCCTTTTTCCCTCTTCACAATCATTAAATCAAAATTCCAATAGTCAGATTTAACATCTTATAAAAATAATATCATTAAAAAATAAATAAATAAATTTAAACAGTTAAAAAATGGTCTGAACAGTTTATAATTGTAATAAAAAAAATTGTTCTATAATAATAGTCTGTAGTTGTGAACTGTTCAGATTAAATTTTAACAGTTTAAATTTATTTATATATTTTTTTATCATAATATTTATTTTTATAAAATGTTATAAAATATTAAATCTGGATTATTAGAGTTTTGATCTAATGGTTGTAAAAAAAAAAAGAGGGTGGTGAAGGGAAAGAGGATGGAAAGTATAATGGAGAGAATCCAATTCCAATGATCATTACTAAAGCAAAGGAAGGGAAAAGTGAAACTTCCTTTGCGAGGCTTTAGGCGCACAAAAAACAACAGGAGGAGTTGATTTTTTCGGCCAAAATTGGAATGGAAGGAGTTTTTTTTTTTACTAAAACATAAATATCTTCCTATAAGAAGGAATCCTATTCAAAACACTGTCAGGTACTAAATATAGACATTTTTTGCAACACGATTTAAACTTTTATTTGTCATGCTGTGAAGACTAGTCCACACAATATTTGTTGGTCGGAATGGAGGGAGTTAACTTTCTTTTTTGGAGCAAAAATGGAGGGAGTTAACTAAAAACCCAAAATGTTCTGGCAAAAAAAAAAACTAAAAACCCAAAATGCAGTAATAAGCTTTCATGAGGAAAAAGCCGGACGAGCCGCGTTTTGGACTGAGAACTTACCGCAGAAAAAGATTTTCTCCCAAATAAGAGATTCACCAGGCCGGCCCACTATTAGAGAGCCGAAACCCGGATTCTTCTCGAAAGAGTTACTGCGTTTCAATATGTCGTGAGGAAGAGAGAGAGAGAGAGAGAGAGAAGAGACGAGATTTGAGATTTTGTGCCCAGGAACGGATGTGGGATCCCTAAGCTGGGTCCCACGCCCCTCTTTCGCTCTCCTACGAGATGTATCCGGATTTTACTGGCGGGAAAAGACGCGGCGACAGGGCACCGCTAAAATCACCGATTAACTGACATTCTTTCCAGCTCCGATGATACATCTCTCATTCTCTTGAAAATATGATTTCGGGGTTTAAAACAATTAAACAAAGTAAAAGGCAAACGTTAATGGTTGAAATAGTCGACACAACGGGGAATAAAATCGGCGGGGCGGGATACCGGACAAGCAAATAGAAGATGAGGCCCAAAAAAATGACCTGAACGTCAAATTCAATAAAGTCGAGGGGGAACTTGGCGGCGGCGTTGAAAGACATGATGGAGTTCTCCTTGACAGCTCTCATTCTCCGATCAGACGACTGCAAGACGTTCATGCCGTTGCCCCTGTGTCCGATTACCAAAAACTTAGGGCTCTTCGACCCGGCCCGACCCAAATCCACGCCTGTAATCGAAGCGCAATATTGAGCAAACAATAAATAAATTATTAAAAAAAATGAAGGAAAAGAGGGAGAGATGGATGGGGAATAGAAGGACGAACCGGCGGAAAAGCGGGTGGAGTAAAGGGAAAAGGAGGCATTCTCAGGGACGTGATCAAGGGAAGGGACGTCGGAGACATGAACGGCCTTGAGAGCCATTGTCAGAGAAGGGAATTAGGAAGGAAGAAGGCAGGAATAGGACAGAGGAGGAATTTTGGACTTGTTGGGAGCGGGAGAGTTGATTGCGGGGTATTTAAGGATCGAAAGGCGAACGCCATGGGATCTTCGCGCCGAATATTCTCTCCCAAATTATATGCTTTCGGATATTCCTCATCCCTCCCATAGTGTCGTTTCTTGCCCAATCCGTTTCGCTCCGCGTTGTCCTAAATCTAGTCCGTCAAGTTTGGTTTCTCTTTCTGCCCATTTAATCCGTCAATTTGTCAACGATTGAAAATACCGAAGTCTGACTCGTCCCACCTACGCTGTGTTCAAATGCAGATCACCCGACACGACCCCCCCTTTTTTTAATTCCTTTCTGAAAATATCAATTAATTATTAATTAGCTCCTTATTCTATTAAACGTGATTGATTAGTCAGTATAATCTTCTATTATTCCTATTTTCAGAAATAATTAAGGCCATTTTCACCAGGATTTGTTATTCTAGAAGGTGGGAGAATCAGAATATGGAGGGGGGGAAAAAGAAGGGAAACGGGCAGTTTGCGGTGGGGGTTCGTATGAGCTATAAAGCGGCGGGTTTGGAACAGTTTCTACAAACAAGATTTTATTAAAAAGACAGGAGATAGTATTAGTTTAAGACGAGCGAATCACATAATGCAGAGTTCTAATAAGATAATTTTTCTCACACCAGAAAATAATAACTAGAAACTAGAACTCAAAATTTTGTTCAAGAAAAACCCCTAATCAGACCACTTTTTCCCCCGTTTTACGCCAATTGTGTTTATGGGAGAAATAACAAAGAACATGGTTCATTTAATATGTATGTATTACTCGTCCGGTCCTAGTTATAAGGCCCACTTGACTTATTTGAGGAGAATAAAGAAGTAAATTAAATTGGTTATTTATAATAAATAAGTATTGTCATTCCTAAAATATCCTTGCTAATTAAATATATTAGCTAAAACTATCATTATTAGAAGGATTATCTTGGAAAAAATGTATAAATATAAGAGACAAAATGGATTGAGATTTTATAATTAGAACAAAAAAAAAGTCAAATGGAGCCTTATAATAAAAAGTCGAGGAGTATTTTCCTAATGCAAGTCATAAACTGTGTCGGTGAGTTGAAAGTTGGAAGTTGGAAGTGAGGGGGGGAGGCTTCCGAGCAAACAGGGATTGTTTTTGTTTTGGTGAGAAATAAAAGGAATAAAAATGGGAAAAGGGATAGGAAGAAATAAATGCGGGGGGGTGAGGGTGACGGGAGAATGAGGTGGAGGATGAGACGACAGCGCAGAAGCAGGCACGAGGCGTGGCTCTTCACAGCCCCTTGTATATTTCTTTAATAGCTTAGTGCTGCTGATGTGGATCCACCATCCTTCATTCTCGTGGCTCACGCGTTTCACATTTTCATCCCACCCTAGCTCCATCTATTTAGAAGGTGATTGGCGTAATATAAAAATATTTCTGAAAAATATTTCTTGACAAATCGAAATAAATTCTTTTATATATTTATTTAAAATTATGATTTAGTTTTCATCTAAACACCTCTTAATTTATCAATCAGGACTTCTTTTTTTAATCATTTTTGCCCTTAACATTACTTTTTAAAAGGGGTTTGGCTATTGTTAAAAGTATTTCCTAAAAATATTTTTTTATAAATTGAGATAAACTTATTTGTATATTTATTTCATATACTGTAAAATCATTTTTAAAATTATGATTTTGTTACACCTTTTTTTTTCTTACCATTTCTCTGTCTGTTTCCATCATTCGTGATCTATGACAAGGAAGAAATGATTTGTTGTGGTTGCTATTTATTAAAGCATGTTATTAATTTTTTATGATTAGTTTTTTCTTTTGTTCCTCATTAAATATTAATACATATTATGTAAAAAAATTTATTTAATAGAAATAAAGTTTTAAAAAATTACTACCCTCTCTTATAGGAGCTGAATGTAAGTTAAATTTAATTCTAAATATAAAATTTTAATTTATTTTGTTTTTTATTTTTTTAAAATATTCTTATTAATTCTAATCATTATTAAAAAAATAATTTAAAGAGACCAACATATATTCATGATAAATAAATAAATTACATAATTTTTATAATAAAAATTGAAGTAGTATTAAATTTAAGAGAGAATTAGCAAATTTTAGATAAGGATGGACGCGATATTTTGGATTTTGTACTCTCTCTCGTATGAATCATTTCCCATTTGAAATTTCCTATGGCGCACAGGTAGAAAAGAAATCTATCCATGGACTCCATATTCTGTGCTTCTTTGATTTTTTTTGGAAACAAAAAAACATAGAAACGATGTTTAACCAAATGTTGTTCACACACACACACATATTCAAGTTTTCAAATTTCCTTGCATTTTGCCCACTAATTTAAAAGATAAGAGAGAGAGAGAGAGTGAGAGAGAGACGTTGATCATAAAGGAAGGCAATCTTATGAAACACCCACTTAGCTTAGTTGCAAGGTATGTACTCTGACGATGTTTGCAAATTGTTTGCCAGGTGTCAAACTTGAACGCGTCAAGTGATGCAGGGTAGTTTCATAAACGAAACTAAAAATACCAGCAACGCTGAAGCTTTCATCATCATAAAAAATATTGAATTCCTTCATACTATTTTTAAATGAAAATCATCACCACATTGCACTCTCAAAAACTTCTTTAAATGAGCGAGTCATATTCCATGCATTCATTAAAATAAAAAACAAATAACAACGATTCATTTTACTTTTGCAGCGAGCACGAATGCTTTATTTTGCCTTCACACCTTTTGTAAACGAATCTGCATTCCGACGTCGTTTCTCGATAGCTGTTCGAACTTGGAAGTTAACACCTGGCGATTATTCAGATTCCAATATGAGAGGAGATGACTCAGATGACCTAGTCATTCTGCAAATTGTTCAACCACCATCTGGTCTTTTCCTTTACTTCTTCTTTTTTTTTTTGACCAAAAAATAAACCAGGCTTCAAACCACAAGACTACCAAAATTCCAAGGCTAACCTGCACTAGATCCTCCTTCTTATAACATGATAAGTAATACAAGTCATTTGACAGATTCATTCATTCCACTTTAATATTTGAATAGAGGGATTGGGGTACTTCGTTTCAAAACGTTGAAATGTAAGAGTGATGACGGTGACGAGTAGGACCAAAGTCACACCCCCCGACATTATGATGGACCACCGTTATCTTTTCCAGGAATGAACCAAGGGAGGAATAACGAACTTTCTCAATTCTTCGACCCAGGGATTTTATGAAATTACTATCCGGACAAAAGGAAATGCCCAGATCTCACAATGCTGCTGAAAAGAGACAAAAACAGTATTAAAAGATAATGCCCGGCCTTACATAGTCCCAGGAAAAGAGAGCCTACTCAAATAACCCGAACAGATTAAGACTAAAGGAGGAGGCAACATACTTAATAATGACTGAGATAGATTAAAATGCACAGCGTAATTCGACACACTGACCAAGATTTCTAACAATTTGCTGGATTCACAGTTTAAATAAAACTTTCCACCGCTATCGCAAAGCAGCTTCTGTCTGGAAAAACCACGAGCGAAACGAAGTCGGGGATGAATTTGAGAAAAAAATTTGGACCATTTCTCGATTTGTGCGTGTCATCCTTGCGCAGGGGCCATGCTAATCTTCTCTGTATCGTTCCAATTTTATCGGATGTCCCCGAAGGGACGAACTGAGCAGCGCGCTTCTTGCATATAATGGTTAGAGTTAGTCAAAGCCTATTCGATGTGGGACTCGTACTGGAGCAACGTCATGCCCAGAGACATCGCACCAACTGTGCAACTGCACGGAGACAAAGAAGCATTGAACCATGAATTTGCAGGCAGGGAAGGAGATGAAGTTTGTCGCAGATGGAGTGAAGAAGACAAATAAAATTGGAATTTAATAACTCATTTTTCTGAAAAGGAAAAAATTTCCGTAAAGCGCGTCTTAGTTTAGGTGCCCTAGGGACACTCTGCAGTCTGCAGACTGCGATTCAGGCACCTCTGTCTCACTCTCCGGTCTTGTCACAAATTTTTTAAGTAGTGTGATTGCTTTTATAAATTCCATATTGCATATAAAATACGCTCTCATATTTCTCATATAAATGTTAAAACATTAATTCCTTTTTTTTTTATGTTCAATATCTTTTAAATTATTTTATATGATTCATTACTTATTATGTAATCTAATATTAAATAGAAATGTTTTACGTATAATATTTTTTATAACTAAATGATTAATTTAATTTATTCAAATCATTAAAAGGAAATTTTTTAATTAAATATAATTAAAATACTTAAATTTAAATCAAAGTCTACACTTTTAACAAAAGAATACGGGGCTTCATTAAAATTTTCTGAATGCCATTAAATGATTAGAATGCCTTTTTTCACTTAAAAAAAGTTGACTATTTTATCCCTATAACATGGTCTCTCATCTTTTATGATTAATATCTTAAAAAAACATATAATTAATTTTGTAGTGTTTAAAATTTTTTATATATAAATAAAACCCTCAAAAACATTTTAACTGAACATTGTAAATTGTAATATAAGTAATCTTGATAAATATCTTTTTAGGTTGTAACTATTTATTTTAAAATTTTAAAATATTTTAATTACAAAAAATATTTAATATTAAGTGTATTTTAATTTTTCAGGTTGCATCTCCTATTGTTTAAATAAATGAAACTAACGTAAATTATAAGAACCGAAAATGAAAAAAAAATTATTTAAAGATTACTTATACTTGGAATTCAAAATAATTAACTAAAGTATTTTTTTAATGTTTTAATTATATATACAAATTTTAGGATAAAATTCTTTATATGTTTTTTGGTCTCCAAAAACAATCATAATAGATAAAAAAATTATTTGAAAAGGAGAGGTAAAATAATTAATTTTTTAAATTAAATAGAACCATTCTAGTTATTTAACAACATTTAGAAATTTTAGTTAAGCCTTAAAATTTTGTTAAAAGTATATATTTCAATTTAAATTTAAGCACTTTAGTTTAATTTAATTGGAATTTT